CCTCTATAACTTATTACTAATCTTACAGCATTAGGTGCAAAAACGAATTCTTATGAAACTAACATAACACATTCATTAAAATTTACTGCGTACATCTTTAACATTTCTCAACCACAAAGAGGAATTATTGGCGCGACGTGTTATCAAATTCACAATCATCACAAAATTAAGCTTAAGGACATTTTTTTAAATTGCATTCTTTTTTGAAGAACTGAATTTTAACATGGATTTAATTTCACAAGATTACCCAAAAACGTCACATTTTTTGAAAATGAACATGTTCTTAATCGAAGGACTGTTTTTGGTGAAGGAATTTCATTAAGGAAAACAATTATATCTTCATTACCGTAGTTGCAAAAAAATCGAAAGAGTTTAAACTTGTGCAAATATCAACTACAATATCAACTAGCAACCACAACTACTATGCTTCAAAATGACGCAGACTTTCTGTACTAGTTAATTTTCGAATTTCTTTCGTCTGGGTTAGCTTTTCCATTTTGCTCCACCTTGTTCCCATCTGTTGCCAACTGAACGTTTTTTATCAATATTTCGGTGCCTTAATAGTGGAACTGAAACTGACTTTAAGAATGTTATAGAAGATTAAAATGTCTCCAATATGGAAAGTTTCGTTGAAACTTTGGAACCGTTATTTAGAAAATGCCAGAATATTGACATTGTAAATGATGCAGTTACGCTGGTGTATGTCAAAGAAAGATCAGAGATTTACTCTCCCACATCATTGTTGACCAAATTCTCAGTGATGAAAGAATGTTTTTTTCAGTTAAAGAAAAGACTTTCATATCATGGTTAATAATGCACATTTTGAGTTTTTATTTTCAGTTAAGAAACTTTGTTTAGTAAATGACACATTAATTCATTTCACAGATTCGGAAAACTGTACTTATTTTGAGATGAAAATCTGAAGGTTATATTTACAAGAAAATCAATATTTTATCAAAAGAACATGTTAGACCACTTTTCTGGTAGAAAATGATTAATTTTGGTAAAGGTACCTAGAATAAGGCTAGACTTTTGATTACTAAAAATGTTCATTTATACAAAAATATATATTCTGACCTACGCCCATGTTCATTTGTATCATTTGTA